TAATAATAATAATAATAATAATAATGATAATAATAATAATAATAATGAGAAGAAGAAGAAGAATACATTACATAAGAATTTATATCGCCTATTTTATCCGGACGAGAGGGTCGAATATATGTAACTACAATAAAAATTGGCTAGATAGACACATTATGAGTAATCGAAAATAATTTTTGAGCCTCAACTAACAACATTACACAAAGTTCGGCGACCTGGAACACAGATTAAAATCCACCATTGTAATAAACAGAATTATAATTCAGACAGGAAAATACAAAACAGTAGATGCATGAATACATTTTAAAAAGCATGCTTGTTGTTGACAACTCACCATGACATATTTTTAAAAAACATTTAATGAGCCTACTCGTCCAATAAAAGCAATTTTGTAAAAATACTGTATGTTTACAGCAACAAAAATATGTCGCCACAATAATTATAATGAAATAGCCTGGTAGCCACCATAGAATAATATGTAGTTGGTAAAAATGTTAGAACATAATATAATCATTCAGTGGAGATGACAATAAAACCTGGCTACAGATGGCTTAGATCACAATCTAGCTGTTAAAACGATGAGTTTATGCGGGCCTGTTTTGGAATTGGGACAAGGTTGCCGCTTGCCAGATTTATCATGGGATGGTATTCTAAAATGGCGGCCCAAAAGGGAAAACGCACTTTCTCCAAAACATTTCAATTTAATGCTTACCATGACCAGCTTGTCGTGAACTGATCCGCTGAACATTCTGGGTGGAGGATAGACCTGCAAAAGGTCCATTAAATACTGAGGTGCGCCACTGTTATTAATACATCTAAAACACATGGTGGTAATCTTAAAAATAATTCGGTCAGCAACTAATGGAAACTCTCTGAACATGGGTGTTGTGTGTGCTCTCTCTATCTCTTTTCTTTTTTTTTTTTCTTTTCCCTCATGACTGATCTTTCTGCGCTGTTTTGGATAATCTGGATTTATATTTTTCAATCCTGTTTTGAGGCAGCCCAACTAGTACAAGTAGCGAATTTTACAGTCAAGTTTTAAGAGAATAAGAAATTATGTTACATGTTTTTACAAGATGTTACTTCCTTGATTCGAACCAAGCAAGTAAGCTTATAGATCTAGTGCCACGAATGCCATAAGCTATTAATTTAAGTCAATTTAAAAGTATAGCTTGATCGATGGTGTCGAACGTAGATATTAAATCTAAAACTAAGAGAACACATAAATGACCTGAATCAAGCGTAGACAAACTCTCACTGGAAGCTCTGAGAATGGCAGTCCCAGTAATGTGACAGACAGTATGATACTATACAGATTGGATAACCTCCGCGAGTTTATTTCTGTCAACAAGGCAACACGGTTGTTTTAAACACCATCTTTTCTAACGTGTTGGGCAGAAAAGTGAGATTTGGCCCTGGTCTCAATAAATATTCCAAGTTGATCTCATCAATGCCTGTCTTTTTCAGAAAAGGTTTGACCCATCAATGCCTGTCTTTTTCAGGAAAGGTTTGACTCATCAATGCCTGTCTTTTTCAGGAAAAGTTTTACTTCTGCTCTTTTTAGACACGCGGCACTACATCTGATTCACTTCTCAGAGAATCATTTAAGATTGTCATGACAAAGTCTAAAATGAGCATTCTTCAATTAATGATGTTGGGACTGGATCTAAATCACAAGATCTTTAAAGATGATTTTGATATAAAGTCGGAGACAAAAGAATAAGACCATCCTTCAGTTGACATTAAGAGAGAGTCATCATATTGATGTACGTTTTATGGCGGGAAACTACTGTTGTCCAGATCACCTTTTTTGTATGGTCTTATCTTTTAAAAAAGTAATAACTTTTTGCTTCTTAGTTTTATTTAGTTTTAGTAGAGGTTTTACGGCGC